AGCTTCAAACCTTTTTTTTTTTTTTTTTTAAAGGGTTGCATGCACTAAGAAAATGTTGGGTGGGTTGGGTGAAGTGGCATTTCCAAAAAAAAATGCTCATCTCTGGTGTGTGTGTGTGTGTGTGTGTGTGTGTGTGTGTGTGTGTGTGTGTGTGTTTTATTACGATACAGTACGGCGATGATCGTGCCATGCCATGTTGCGTCAAGAAGCATGGATATGATAACACTTGGATATGAGCCCGTAACCTGGTATGCCTATGAGTCGAACGCACAAAAGTCATGCAAAGGCCTGAAAAGCAACAGACCACAAACCAAGAGCTCTAATAAAATAGCAGCGAGCCAAAGAGCAAAAAGGCAAAGGCAGCAATGCACGAAAGACAGTAAAGCAAAGGGCTGAAACCAACAAGGCATCGGACAAGCATCGGGCAGCAAGGGACAAAGGCTGGAGGGCGTGAGGGAGTCGGGCAGTCAGACAAACAACACAGCAGCAGAGCACGAAAGCAGCGAACCAAAAGACGAAGGCTGGAGGGTATGGGGAGCCAAGCGGGCAGGCAAACAAACACAAGGCATTAAGCCACGAAAAACAACGGAAAAAAAGTCATAGGGTGGAGGGTATGGGGAGGTGGACGGGCAGACAAACAACAAAAAGCAGCAAGGCATGAAAGACGGTGAAGCAAGAGACATAGGCTGGTGGGTATGGGGGAGACGGGTGGGCAGACAAACAACTCAAAGCCAAAAAATAACACAATGGAAGAACAACAGGCAAAAAGGGATCGAGTTCCGAAATCAAAACTGAACAAAATAAAAACTGATGATAACAAGATTGTTTCATCGGAGTTGCACTGACTCATCAGGAGGCTGAACCCTCGACAATCTGCGGAATCCCCATATTGATGCTTTGGGTCATGGACTCTTTTGACCCCTGTTGGAAGTGGACAGCCCAAGGGCACTCCACAAGCGCATTAGGGTAGAAAGGCAACAACTCAGCAAAGCACCAGGCAATGCTAATCGGGCGACTGGACTGCACAGCATCAAAAACAAACTGCATGGAACAACAGCGCAAGCAAACGGGCAGCAAAGCAGCAGCACCGCGAAGCAAAGGGCAATGCTGCAAAAGCAGCCAAACCACACGGCACACAAGCAAGAGACACGAAAGGCAAGGCACACAGATGTGCAGCATGGCAACAATGCAGTGAGGCACAAGCACCACTGACAAAGCAACCAAACTACACGACAACCAGGCATGCTACGGGGAAGGCCATGGGGCAGCAAGGCAGTGGGGGAGCGCAGACAAGGCAGTCCACACATCTAACACGGAGCAAAGGAATCCATCGTACTCGCACCATAAATACAACCCTGCACACTGTTGGTTCCCACCACCTGCCGAGCCAGGGAGTCACTCTGATGAACGTCCGTCGTCGCCCATCAAACACACAGACTTCCCGAACAGAGAAGGCCCCCCAATAGAGTTGTAGGCACTCCAAACAAGCAGCCACCGACTCTTGGGCACTATCTAATGGTGCTCGACTAGACAGCCAGAAAGTTAAAAAAAAAACAGGAAGGAAGATATACAGAAGAACAGAAAGGAAGGCATACAAAAGAACTGATTGAATGTGTGTGTGTGTGTGTGTGTGTGTGTGTGTGTGTGTGTGTGTGTGTGTGTGTGTGTGTGTGTGTGTGTGTG